CTGTCTATATATATATATATATATATATATATATATATATATATAGCTGTTTCTTTAATATAGTGTGTTGTATATACAATCTATAAGTTGCAGCAAGTTTTCATAGAACAGTGAACACATATCTCACAATATCAATGAAAATTCCTCATGATATGAGCCCTTTAAATAACTCTATCAGCGGGGTGGCTGTGATGCTCTACACTAGCGTTCACACTCACTTGCACTTCGGCAGGCCTCCCTCATCAGTGTAGCATGTTCCTCCATTCATGCATCTGCATGCAAGTGGCATGGACACCTCTGCCTCAATGGCTGCATGTGCGAGGCAATGCAACACAGTCACAATGCAATCACATCACAAGTCAAACACTCACTTTCATCACAATTATCAGAGCACTGAAGTCAAAACATCACATGACAATAATGAAATCATGCAGCAGCAGATGCAGCACATGCATGTATGTTATGAAATGTATTGATGGGATGCAATGGAGCCAATCAGCTCATCTCAAACTAACAGCAGTAGGTGTGTGTTCATCTCTTACCGGCATCACATTCATTCTTGTTGAATGCGTGCAATGTGGAGCCCTGCGGACAGGCACAGGTGTATCCACCTGGCCGCAGCAAACACAGGTGACTGCAGACACCCTGACAGGGGTTCAGCACTGCAAGAGAATTTGAACAGTCATTTACTATTACTATTACAGGAATTATCTTTGGCTAAAAGAAATGCGGTGAAAAAGAACTGAGGAACAGGTGCTTTTATTCAACTTAATTCACCTGTGGTTTCTACACAGTTGTTCTTGGGTATAAAGACAAATGCAAAACCACTATATACTGTATATATATTAATTAGCACGTAACTTAAAGTTCACGGGCATTTGCATCCTTTTGTGCAGATACAAGTTGTAATGTTACGTCTATGTTATGTATCTAAGTTATCTGATTAAAATCATAGGATGTGTCATAGAACGGGCTTCAGTTTATGGGCATAAAGTCACTCAGCTTCACCTCAGGCAGCTATTCCTTTCTAGATGCATCTAACATTGCTGCATCATAATCATAATCTAACAGTGTTCTAATCATGGGTTCATGTTTTCATATACAGGTTTTCATGTCATATTTTTATTTTTAACATTAATTTTCATAACAGTCCAGATATTTTCATTATCTCCATGATGGCCATGCCCCGCCCCCCCCGAGTACTCGTTTTTGAAACCTAATGATAATCGAAATGAGAAAATGCTCATCCCTAATTCAAAATTCGAAAATGAATGGCTCTTTTAATCTGGTTTTTGCTCGTGAATCGCCTGAACTGAACGATCGATGTCACGAATTTGAATCAATCGGAGTGGTTCCAGTATAAATGACTCATTCAATTGATTCGGTTTGTCTGTTCCTCTTTTTGCGTCTTCAGCCATGTTTACATGACACTGTCAGTACTACTACCAGCATAGCTCCCTAGTTTTATGACATTAACTGAAATAAGCGAAAAAGTATGAATTTGTAAACATGTCAATATATTTCCATTCCAAATATAACATCCAACACAAATTTACGACCATATTCAGGTGAGGTAACCGGTTTACTGCTAACTAGGGAAAACACTCCATTAATATGACGAGCTGCACCTCAAAATACATGTTAGATGGAAACATTGTGCTTTATGATTGAGTTTGTTGCTGTCACGGTTTGCTACTGTGAGGAGCACAGAGCGAGGCACGAGGAGACGCAGAGTCCAATTCAAACATACAGTTTTTAATAATATCCAGGGAAACAGGAAAACACACGTAGCAAGGGTTGACATTAACAATTCCAGACGAGGGACAACAGAACGGGCTAGAACTCAAATAGGGCAGATAACGAGGGGCAGACAGCTGAGGAGGGTAACTAATAATGAGAAACACCTGGAACTAATAGAACTAAATGGGGACAGGAACTGGAAGGACCAAATAAGGACAAACAAGAACTAAACGGGAACATACACGTGACGTGACAGTTGCTTAATTCACTGTATTTTAATAGTTTGACAAATGCAGTTCAGTTGGTGACTGTTCAATAGGAAATCAGTTGCATGAATGTTAAATTTATCAGTATATATTGTAATAAATATTTGAGAGATTATTGTTGTATCTGATTGTATTCGTCTATATAGAGTGAATGTAAAAAGAGCAAATGTGAGAAGCAGATGAACAAAATAGCCAAACAACAAAGTTAATGAGGGTAAAACTTTTCATTCAACTGAGCTACGCACGTACGTTTTAAACACTTCAGATACCTTATATGTTAACTTCTCAGGTAATATCAATTGTATGACCTATTTCAGATGTGGCCAAAATTACAACAACAGTGGTTACATAAACATATATTTAATCAAAATTATTGCTAGGGACAATTTAGTAGTTGCTGGATATCGGTAGGGACATGTCCCTAGAGTCCCTAAAGTAAATTTTACGCCCTTGTTGAAACGTAAGGATTCCCGGTCGCACCTGAGTGGTTGTGTCGGTGCTGCTGGTAGATGCGTACTTGAGTCAGCCAGGGGTTTATGGTCAACACCTTCACCTTGTCTCCTTTCCCGAACTTATCTTTTTTCCACACTTCTCCCTTCTCTTTAGTCGTCCAGTACACGTGTCCCTCGAACACATCCACACTGTAGGGGTGACCGATGTCTGCAATGACAACAAACGTGAGAACATCGGCCAGTCAAAAGCAGTTTTCTCGGATGTAATGCTCCGACGTCTCACCTCCTGATAGGATCATTTGACGGTCTGTTCCGTCCGCTTTCATCGATTCAATGATGTTTTCTTTTGAGTCACACCAGTAGATGCGGTTTTCATTCAGGTAGTCCAAAGCTAAACCAGTAGGCCAGCCCAGATCTTCATCTAACAGCACCTCTCTGTGCTGCCCATCCATCCACGCCATCTCAATCTTGGGCTTTCTGCCCCAGTCGGTCCAGAACATCTTACTATAACATATACACACAAAATAATCATCATTAATGACAAAAACAGCAGTTTTGAAGAATCAGGGTTCCAACATTTTATGATCAATGAAATTTCAATTATATTTCAAGTGGTTTGTGATTATTAGACAAGATTTTTAAAAATATTTTATAAGATGTATTAGTTTTATTTCCAAGACTTTTCCCACACATAAAAATCACAATTTTAAAACTTTCATGACCATGCATCCCTCAGGACTGTCCATTAATTATGTTTTAATCCCAAATGACAAAAAAAAAATTGTGTATACATATATAT